AAAAAAAAAAATAATAACATGCATTCACTAATTTTGGAAAAATAATCTTCTCAATAGATTGCAGGGAAAAAAAGAGAATGAGGTGGGCAGTGCTTGTGGCTCAGTGGGTAGGATGCCGGCCTGATATACTGAGGGTGGCAAGTTCAAACCCAACCCTGGCCAAGCTGCAACAAAGAAATAACCGGGCAACAAGGCAGGCACCTATAGTCATAGCTACTCGGGAGGCTGAGGCAAGAGAATCACCTAAGCCCAGGAGCTGAAGGTTGCTGTGAGCTGTGACGTCACAGCACTCTACTGAGGGTGATAAAGTGAGACTCTGCCTCTTAAAAAAAAAGAAAGAAAGGAAGGAAGAAAAGAAAAAAAGAGAATGAAACAAGGCCAAATTGTAAAACAATCCCAAGACACTAAGGCCTGAACTCAGCCTGAAGGGCCCACAGAGTCAAGTGTGTGTGTGAAGTCACCTTACCCATTGGGGTCAGTGTTCACCTGCTCACAGAAATTCTGGATAGCTGACCAATCCTGTTCTGCCATGCTTGGGTCTGTGGCTTTGTCTGTCAAGGAAATAAAAAAAGAAAGCATAATAAGGCTGGGCACAGAGGCTCACATCTGTAATCCTAGTATTCTGGGAGGCCAAGGTAGGAAGATCACTTAAGGTCAGGAGTTCAAGACTATCATGAGCAAGAGCAAGACCCATTTCTACAAAAGCTAAAAAAACTACATGGTGGCACATGCCTGTCCTGGGTGTTTGGTCCTCAAACTCAGGAGTTTGAGGATGCAGTGAGCTATGATGACACCATGGAGGTCTAGCCCAGCTGACAGAGTTAAGACCCTGTCTCAAAAAAAAGAAAAAGAGCTGGGGGCAGTGGCTCACAGCCCAGATGACAGAGTTAAAAAAAACCCTGTCTCAAAAAAAAAAAACAAAGAGGCTCGGCACCTGTGGCTCAAGTGGCTAAGGCGCCAGCCACGTACACCTAAGGTTGGGTTTGAACTTGCCGGGTGGTTTGAATCCAGCCCGGGCCGCCAAACAATGATGACTACAACCAAAAAATAGCCAGGCATCACGGCGGGTGCCTGTGGTCTCAGCTACTTGGGAGGCTGAGGCAGGAGACTAGCTTGAGCCCAGGAGTTGGGGGTTGCTGTGAGCTGTGATGCCACGGCACTCTACCCACGGGGAGAGCTTGAGGCTCTGTCTCAAAAAAAAAAAAAAAAAAGAAAAGAAAGAGAGCTGGGAGCAGTGGCTCACACTCATAATTCTAGCACTGAGGTGGACTAGAACTGAACCTGACTTGGTTCAAGACCAGCCTAAGCCAGAGTGAGACCTTGTCTGTCAAAATAGCCGGGTATGGTGGCGGGCCCCTGTGGTCCCAGCTACTTGGAAAACTAAGACAAAAGCCTCAGTCTTGCTGTGAGCTATGATGTCATCGCATTCTACCAAGGGTGACAAAGTAAGACTCTGGAAAAAAAAAGAGAGAGAGAGAGAAAAGGATGGGTATTTACAGCCCTACTTATATTTAAACATGGCAGTCAAGGGCTATAACACCACACACCGGATCAGACAAGTAGAAAAACAGCTGAAAGAGATTACCCAGCGGCTCAGTGCCTATAGTTCAGGGGCTAGGGGCACCAGCCACATACACCTAGGCTGGCAGGTTCAAACCCGACAACTACAACTAAAAGATAGCTGGGCATTGTGGTGGGTGCCTGTAAGTCCCAGCTAATTGGGAGGCTGAGGCAAGAGAATCACTTAAGCCCAAGAGTTGGAGGTTGCTGTGAGCTGTGACGCCACAGCACTCTACCAAGGGCGACATGGTGAGACTCTGTCTCAAAAAAAAAGAGAGAGACCACCACGCATATTGTCTTCACACAGCATGAGCTTACTGATCATCTGCTCAGTGAATGAATGAGCAGATTAATTAATAAGCCACTGCCTTGAAAGTGGCTCCATTTCCAATATAGAGGTTGGCCTTTGCCTTCTTCACGTCACACATCAGGACTCCCATACTCTGGCCCCACGATGAGGACAGGCATGAGACAGCATCCGAGAGGCTACCTGGATGTGTTTTAGCAACATGACAGAGAGACAAGAGCAGGTCAAAGGAAGACTTTGTTCTGGCCTTTCAAGAAACTTCCTAACTCCCCCTGTCCAGCCTAGCCTCCTGGCCTAGGTAGCCTCTCCAATGAAGTATCACACCAGTTGACTGAGTAGCTCTTTTTAGGCTCTGGAAATAAAAGGCTAATTCTCGGCTCGGCGCCTATGGCTCAACCGGCTAAGGCGCCAGCCACGTACACCTAAGGTGGCGGGTTCGAATCCCCAGCCCGG